CCAAAAATTTCCATTATTGTACCAAAAATAGTTGATGCGTTATGAGGATATGAACATAAACGAAAACCTATTATTCTTTTTTGTAAAACCCATTCGTCATCAACATAACCCCATGACGCATAAATATCCAATTTTATTGCACCCCTCCCATAGATCAGAAGTACAAGATACAGTAGCATTAAAAGTTCTAAAATTATCAACAAGGGATTGTCTCATTGCATAAAACACTTTCATGCAATCAGAACGAGTTGTGTTTCTACTCACCCGTTTAAATTTTAGGCAGAAGATCGTCTGTATGAATTTTTCGAACTACGCATCATCTGTAAAAGAAAGAGGCAATTCGGCACTAGCTAAAAATTTAGCTAGTGCCTCACGAGCACGTTGTACATCATATGTAAAATTTTGTAACCCTTGTGATGTGAGTGATAGTGTTTGTTGGCGGGAGTCGACACTCCGACCTTGGTGCAACGATAGACATACTTTCCAATGTCTATCCAGATGACCAGTACCCCACCCTTTTTATTAGAAAAATATTTTTTACAATACTTACATACCGCACGAATTTCCATTTCACATGTTTTTAGATTTGGTCGGGGCTCCTCTGTGAAATGCTGTCATGCAGGAAAAGTTCGCGGTCTTTTTCTCCTGGTGCGTTCTCCAACTTCCTCGTTGTGCACTGAAGCATTATCTACTGGAGTATTTTCTAGTTCAGTGGGGGTGGGGTTGGGAGGCATCATTTCATCCTCGAAAAATGGCTCATCACCAAGCTCAGGAAGAGTAATAAAATTAGAAAAGTTTGATGCGGCCATTTTCTAGAAATTGATTGAACTTAAACTTTTTAAATGAAAGAGCAAGAAAATGAGTGATCGCGAGAAAAAAGCTTAGAATCAAAATCAAAACTACAAGATGAGAGATAGAATGAGAATGAGATGAGAAGTTGGGAGTGAATTGTTGTGTAAAATTTATGGTGGAATTAAGGGGTATTTATAGGGGATTTTTGGGGGGGGTTTCAGATTGTGACCGTTGGGCCCGCGGAGGGCCCAACGGTCACAATCCGAACGGGCTTTAGGGCCCTTCGCGGGCCTGGGCCGGGCCGAATAAAGGCCGAATCCGGGGCCGAACTAGGCTTGGGCTGGGCCGCGGGCCTTCACGAGCTAGGGCCGGACTTGGGCCGCGGGCTGAGAAGCCGAGGCCCAACTCTTAGACGGCCCGGCCCATTTGACAACTCCATACCTATGGCAAGTCTAACTTCCATGTTCGTACACATGGCAAATCAAAAACACCCAAATTCAAGATAATTATTCTTAATTAGGGCTATTACTATAGGGTAGTTGTTAGAAGATTTTAGAGTCAAAATACCCTACCAATACTTTATAATTATGGAATATAATATCACATCAAAATTATATCATAACCAAATAATTTTTACTGAAAATCTATAGGATAATTGTTAGAAGATTTCCAGAGTAAAAATACCCTACCAATACTCTATAGACTATAGTTATGTGGACTATAATATCATATTAAAATTTTATCATAACCAAATAATAATTAAATTTAACAAAACATGATGAAAGCCTAATAGTTAAAAATATCCTATGCGATACTGATTTTTTTTCCCTCCCAAAAATTTCTCCTCATGGGTATGAAATATTAAGATTATTGGATGATGGTTTATTTAATCATAACCATATTAATGTAGAATCGTGATAAATTTTAGAACATAGATAGAATTTCGAGAGGGGTATTATCAATGAGAGTAATTAAACTGGATAGAGAAAAAAACCATGAGAAAAATAGAAATAAAGGGAGAACAAGAACTGAACAAGGAGAAACTAGAAATTCAATATAATTAATCAATCGTCAAAGGCTCTGAATTAGAATTACACTCACCAAACTATTTATAAAAGTCTAAAACTAATGAGATAAACTTAGCAACATACCTTAAATATTCTAAATAATCTTAGAGACAAATATAAACCTAAATTTAAAATTTAAAACGAAATACTAAAGATAACAATATATTATCAAAGATAACAATATAAATTCAAATTCAAAAATCATAATCTAATTTATTATTTATCATCACTTATGCTACAGTTTACACAAGCAATAGTAAGAGATGAACAAAAATGGCAAATACTAAAAAACACTATGATCGATTAAAAAAAACAATATGGTGTGTATATCTACAAAAAATATTTTTGATATTTTTATGGTAGGGCATAAAAGTACATTTATTATTACTTGGTAATTTTTGACCGTGGTATCATAATTTAATCATATTAAGATAACAAAGTTTACATATACATATCATTTATTGTTGATTTATTTAAAAACATATATCCTCCACTTTGAACTTTATAATATATACGTGTATATATCACAATATTTAAAGGCGTGTTTACTTTGTATAAAAGAAAAATTGAATCAATTATAATATATATATATATATATGTGTGTGTGTGTGTGTTACAGCATTTAAGTGTACATCAATTCATAGCCTGAATCGATAATGTCCAATTTAACTATTTAAAATATCTTTGAAGGGGAAAAAGATAATAAAAAGGAAGAAAAAATCAATGCATCAAAAGGAAAACAAAACAAAATATCAAGTCATGCACCGTTGATTTGTTTTTTCCTATAACGATTTTTTATTTTTCTATTTTGAAAATGGATTTTTTTTTTCTTTTTGTTTGAGAAGCTAAAATTGAGCGTTGATCGGTTATTGGGTATGAATTTGTCACTTTAAACATGAGAAAATTGCTTAACTTACTTTTAAAGTATATGAATCTAGATTTGTACTCTTTAAAATTATTTAATTAAAAAGGATATTAATCAATAAAAACTCTCTATTTCTATATCTTAGTAGTAGAAATGTCAGTTCGGATAATATGGGCCACACTAGGCGACCTGATCACCTGAAACGGGAAATTGGGCTGACCCAGACTAACACCGGCTTTATGGGCATATGGTTAACCCAATCCGCAAGACTGTATTGATCGGTCCGATTAAATGCTTTATATTAAAAATTACACCATATGACTGTTTTTTAAGAGTTGAATTAAAATTTGGCTTATTTTTACAAATATCACTTATATGGCTTATTTTTTAAATTACATTTTTTAACACTACTAAAATACCCCTTCAAGATTTTGTTGTGTTTTTTTTTTTTGGTACCTAACTAACTTTCATATTTTTCTCGTAATTGAATTGATAAACAAAATAATCCACACCTAAATTTTGAATTACTTTCACATTAATTCATTATATCACATGTAGTTTACAATTTCTTTGTTTTCGTTTCGTTTATACATTGCAATTTTCTTATTATTTGGTTTATATATCAGGATGGTTAAGACAAATGGAAAACTGACATTTCTGTGTGTGTATTAATTTTACATGTTAATGATATATTCTTCATAGTAATAATGTGTAATAGTTTTACTTCACGTCAACTATTGTTATTTAACATGAATATTTTATACTTATATTGTCGTTATTTTATTGAAATTGTATTTTTACAAATATAAATTCTCATCAATTCTATAATTATGTTGCTAGTATTTCAATGACATGTAATAGTTAAATGCTATTAAGTTAATAATTATATTGTCAATATTTCAATGTAATTTGAATTATGAGCTTTGAAATGTTTAAAGATGGTTAATAGTCTCATAAATTGTGAGATACAATATCTACCCCATCTCATAAATATCATTATCATTAAGTAATATAAACTTTAAATACTAGTCTATAAAATAAAATTTTAAAACCTTAATATCATTATTAAAGTTAATAATGTATTATACATCCATATTAAGCCATATGTAGAATATTCACAAACTCGAGCTATATTTTAATTCAACAATCTTATTTATGTCATATATGTCATTAATCCTTCTTTAAAACCTAAATAGAAAGAGAAAAGTAGACAAATACCCTTTAAAAGTACGCGAGTCAAGATTTCTACTATTTACTCTTAATCAATAACTCTTTTAGTTAAATAACTATACTAGTCAAATATTATTAATAAAGAATTATGAATAAAAATCTAGACTCATATACTTTTAAAGATGAATTCTGTAATTTTCTCTAAGGGAGCAAATTCAATTAGGAGTTCAAACATAGAGTTTCGGCCCAACCCAACTAAAGATTTCAAGCCCAGATTTTCAAGTGGGGTAGGGACCGAGCCGAAGAGTCGGCCTCCGGACCAACCCAAATGAACATCTCTACTTGATATCTATTTGATTAAGCCTAAAATATTTGAGATAGTATAAATAAACCTAAAACATGATACATTTGCATAATATTTCCAAAAATATAACTATAATAAGGGTTCGTTTAGTTCGCTGATTCGAGTTTTTAATTCGAATTGAGATGTGACTTTATATGAAAGCTTTTTATTGTAATAAAAAAGTTAGATTTGACTGTTTCTGAGAATTTTTTACTATAACAAAACTCAAATCAGTGAAATGAACGGGGCCTAAAACTTTATAAAGATTAACATCAAACGCTAACCACGACAATCCTTTAAAAGAAAACCAAGCACGATAATACCTTTTGTATTCTATTAATCATCCATACGAATATGAACTGGCTTCAGAAATAATTATTCCACTTAAACGACAAGAGTTCATTACAAAATATATTAGTTTTTTTACAAAGATACTTAGTAATAATATAAATATACCTCTTGTACGGGTCCTAGTTAGGCATTTTGGCAATATATAGATAAGATCAAAGTTTGGAACAATTAATAATTTACAATTTTTATTTTCTTTTACTTTTTCCTATATAGACCCGTAATGCATCATTTGGACCGAGTCCATATATTACTCTATCCTATTCAATCCCAAACCGACCATACCCGGTTCACGGCAACCGGTCCAACCACTATTTGTAATTGTTCCTCTTTATTTTTGAAGAGAAAAAAGAAAAAATTAAAAAATATATATTCATTGCTTACATAATTTGTTTTTCTTACATTCCCACATTTTCTTCTCCATCTTTCTTATCTATTCTTCTTCTTTCTCTCTCTATTTTCTCTCTCTTCTTCTGAGAGTTTCTTTGCTGGTAACAAGGTAAGAACCGAGCTTTTTCACGGGAATCGCCGGGTGGGCTTTTGCCCCCATTTCCGACGATGATTTCACCTCCATGGAAGGAAGCTCCGAATCTGTAAGTTTCCGAATCTCTGACCTATTTTATTGACGGTGCAGCTTCGAAAGGGTACTTTTTCCTTTCTGGAAACCCTAAATTAGATTGCTTTCTCGAGCTTGGAGCTCCGCTTGATCTTCGATTCTTCGGACGTTAATGGTGGGATGATTTTTGCTTTGTTCAAGGATCTTCGGATTTTAACGTTATTAGGGTTCTTGGCGAATTGAGAAATTTACTTTATTGCGATTTGACTTGGACGAATTATCAGGCCTAGGGTTTTGGATTTGAAGAAGCATTTGTTTGTGGAAGGGAAGAGATTGGGGGATTCTATCTGGTTTCTAGGGTTTGTTTTGTTGGATTCGAGACGGGAAAGATAGGTGTGGGTTAAAAAGATAATGTGTATACTTTGTGTTATACAGAAGTGGTCTCGCCGGGTTGCTACGATGCTTCCTTGGTTAGTTATTCCACTAATAAGTTTGTGGGCTCTGTCCCAGCTGCTGCCACCGGCTTTTCGCTTTGAAATTACCTCACCGAGGCTGGCCTGTGTTTTTGTGCTTTTGGTTACTCTCTTTTGGTACGAGATTTTGATGCCTCAGCTGTCGGCTTGGCGGGTGAGAAGGAATGCCCGGCTTAGGGAGAGGAAGAGGTTTGAAGCTATAGAAATGCAGAAGCTTCGGAAAACAGCCACGCGGCGGTGTCGGAACTGCCTGACTCCGTATAGAGATCAGAATCCGGGTGGGGGTCGGTTTATGTGTTCGTATTGTGGGCACATTTCGAAAAGACCGGTCTTGGACTTGCCTGTGCCCCCTGGGATGTCAAATTCGGGTATTATCAAAGAGTTGGTTGGAAAGAGTCAAAGAGTTGGTTGGAAAGAGGGGCAAGCTATTAAATGGAAAAGTGTGGTCTGATAATGGGTGGATGTGTGGTCAAGATTGGTTGGAGAATGGCAACTGGGTTGGTGGTTCTGTTGCAGGGAAGTCTAATTATTGGAGGAAGAACGGCAGCAGTCTTTTTGGAGGAGACGAAAATTGTTTGGCGGAGAAGTCTTACTCAGGTGTTGTTATTTTTGCCTGCAAGATTTTGACGTCGTTTTTCTTGAGTGTTAGATGGCTTTGGAGAAAGATTTTTAGAGTTAGTTCATCCGGGGAAGATGCTTCCTCTGACACTGAGCATAAGGGGTTGCAGGCAAAGAGGGGTGAAAATGGGGGGAATTTTCATGAGAGCAGAGGAGAAAAGGCACGCAGAAAAGCTGAAGAGAAGAGACAAGCTAGATTAGAGAAAGAACTTTTGGAGGAGGAAGAGAGGAAGCAGAGAGAGGAGGTTGCAAGATTGGTGGAAGAACGTAGGAGATTGAGGGATGAGAAACTGGAGGCTGAAAAAGATCGTGGTAAAACATCAGCTCCTGTCAGGGAGAAAGATGGTAAGAAAGAAGCAGAAAGAAAGCGTCAGGAGAGAAGAAGAGAGAAAGACAAGGGTTCTAGTAAGAGCAACTCTGATGTAGAAGAGCTGGAAAAGAAACCAGGTAAGGAAAGTGAAAGAAAGAAAGACTTTGATAAGAAGAGTGAGAACGACCGACGGGAACAACAGAAATCAGTGACTGATCTTGTAAAGGGCCAGACCACTGAAATGGGGCATGGAGTGAAAAATGTTGCTGCAAATAATTTTTACCGGGGTAATGCTGGAACTAGGTACCTGGATCGTATGAAGGGTACTATTTTCTCTTCTTCTAAAGCATTTAGCGGAGGCAGTTTCTTTGGAAGGGGAACTAGTGCTGCTGCTACTACGATGAAGGAAGTCAAACCTAATAATCCTGTAGAGCATGGCCATATTTCTGTCCACAATAAAGATGTTTGTCCACCTGAACGTGTAGCTCTACGATCTTTTATGAATGGAGATGATAAGAACATTAATCGTCTGGTAAATTCTCTTGACTCGTACCCGAGCCTGATTTTTGTATACTTTCCGTTGAGATGCTTCTCTTGCTTACTCTAACCTTATGAAAAAATATGCAAGTTCTATTATGGAAATAGATAGTTGTCCTTTTCTTTAGAGTGCTTTTATAGCTTGCTTTTAACTTTCAGAAAATTACACTCGTGCTATGAGGGCATTATATCATTATCCCCTTCTGATTTCTCATGCCATACCTGTATCTACCTGCATAATGTAGATAATGTGGTTCTGATAGCAGATTCATAACATTGACTTCTAGTGTGGCCATATTGATTGACTGGGATACGGGTACAAGCCATATTGGTTGACTGCGATATGGGTTATTTGTCTCTGAGTTTTGTGCGTCCAAAGTAGAAAAGAATGCCAGTTTGATTGATCTAATTAAGCTTTGGCAGTGATACCTTATATGTTTGTTGTTGTTGTTGTTGTTGTTGCTGCTGCTCTATCTTTATTATTTCCTACCTATTTAATGTTGTTTTAATTTTTCGGGCACTACTGACAAAGTTACATTTTCATTCCGTTGGCTCATTTATGGCGATCAGAATATTATTAGCAACATTTATCAGATTTTGGTGTTACAATGCCGAGTTGTTCATTGCAGGTCCACTCTGAAGCACAACCAGGTACAGCACCTAGAAAATCTTGGCAGCAATTATTTACTCGTTCAACACCTGTTCCTCCCTCCTCAAATGCAAATGTCATAAGTAGACCAAACTTGAAGTTCCAATTAGAAGCTCAAAGTCCACAGTTATCTGGTCAACCATCAACAACACAATCGTTTGATAATCCAATAAATTTTGGGTCTCCTTTTGCTCTCTCTACCTATCCAAATGTATCAATTAGCAGTAGTCTAGGATTTTCACCTGCAATTGAACCTATGTTCCCTCGTGTTGGGGAAGTGCCTCGTGAACACATACCAGAGGAGCCAGAACTTTTTGAAGATCCCTGTTACATTCCTGATCCAGTATCTTTACTTGGGCCTGTTTCAGAATCACTTGATAATTTTCAGCTGGACCTGGGCACCAATCCTGCTATAGATTTTGGACTGGAAAGGCCTCGTACTTTAAAGAATGTTTCTGCCACTTCTGATGTCAATAAGCCATCTCCTATTGAGTCTCCAATGTCACGAGAAAAGCACAATGTTTCTAGTCGGTTCCCAACAACACCAAAGGCCCATGATATGCATACTTTATCTGTGGATGATGCAAATGCTAGTGAAACGGGTATGTGGCAGATGTGGAACTCTTGTCCTCTTGGTCAGGATGGTCTAGGTTTGGTAGGTGGCCCAGCCAGCTGGCTTCTACCCTCTGAACTGAACAGATCGAGCAAGGATGAATTTGTGCACCCTTCATCTCAGAAGACCATGGCCTCACTGTTTACAAAAGAGGAACCAGTCCTATCTGGAACTCAATCCCCTCCAAACATTTTTCTTCGTAATGGCCAGAATGGTGGGACATTTAGCCCTGTTACTGGTTCACGTGATCCTGACCCATGGTTACAGAAAGCTTTTATTCCACCTTTGTCATCTGGTGAAAGTCACTTTGCTCTCAAACCTCAAGAGGAAACTACTCAGAGTGAAATTATTTTTGGAAGTCCCAGAAGAGCAACCAATCATCCATATGAGCAGTCTCCAGCCACTTGTTGGTCCAAGTAAGTGCTTGATCCTTTTTCATATTGACATTTCGTTTCCAAGCAGCTTGAATCTTCTGACATGTATTTCTGAGAATTAATAGATTTATTCGAATGTATTATGTTTGTTCCTATCATGTTTAATGGTGAGATGAAAAGTTTCGTAGTCTTTGTTGCCGTATGAATCTACAAGTTAACTTTCCCTAAGTATAGACATTCCTTGCGTTCTTTTAACATATCACAGTTGTTCTTGTTTTAGATAGCTTGAAGTTGTCATGGAGAGATTTTTTTTTTTTTAATACATTCTTGTTGTCATGGATCTTACAACTTAGACGTTGGTCACTCATCTCTATTCTTAGAGTAGGAGTTCGTTCCTTCTTGTGTTTCAAATGTTTCCTCCTGATGGTCCTTCTAGTTGAGTCCAGTAGGTTTCTTTTCTTCCTTTTTGCTTCCAACCGTTTGTTAATGCCACAATTATTGGGTTGAGAAATTGACGTGATAAAGATTAGCTTTTTAGCTTTTGCTATGTAGCCTGTGTTGACACTTGACACCAACTACCTGTGCTTATTCCAACGATTTCTCACCAACTACTTATGTTGACACTTGACATCACTATATGATATTTTCCAGTCTTGATATTTTAAATTTTTCCGAGGCAGTTACCTTGGTCGATTATAGTCCATCTGTTGCCGCTTAGCGAAAGTTGGTTCGAGTATTTTGGTCATCGATTACAAATACACATTACAAATAGGATTAATTACGAAAATTCCCTTTGAACCATGACCTGTGTAACATTTTGCCCGCCCCCCCGCTCTCTCCCCCCCTCCCCGCTCGTGTTTAAAATGTAACTTCTGCTCCCCCTGAAATGTGAAACGTTATCAAGAAAAACCCCCTTCCATGAGAATTTTTAACGGAAAGTTAGTTCATGCTATTTAATCTGGGTATTTTGTAATCATGTGTGTATAAATTTAATTTGAGTTAAAATTTAATGTTAATTTGAAAATCTTTTTATTAGAACAAATTTAGCATTATTGCGCCATTAAAAAGATATTGAGAAGTAAATCAGAAAACGTTAATTGAAGTCAACTTCTCTCTTTTGTTCTAAAGATATTGAGAAATAAATCAGAAAACCTTAATTGAAGTCAACTTCTCTCTCTTTTGTTCTCTAGTTCGTCACTACTACTACTACTACTACATTTTATACTTTTCCTTGCTCACTTCCGCATCTGTAGTGTCCACAACTGGGCAAGTTGCCAATAACATAAACTTGGAAGCAATCTTGGTTTCCATTGATGATTTTTTTTTAATTGGTGGGTGTACTTCCGTTTGGCTTTTTTTTTTTTAAAAAAAAAGAAAAACTTTATTGATAAAATCAATAAAAGGCAGGGGATAAGGAATCCTCCAACCCATGAAGTACAAAAAGGCCAAAAACCTGACCAAAATAAGATAAACAAAGACCAGAATAAGATGAACAAACACTCTCTCAAATCAATTTCCTATTACATCTTTCCAGTTCAAATTGATCAAAGAGAATGGAAATCCTTTTAAAAGCTTTATCTGAAGCCGCCCATAGCGATTCAAGGAATTTTTTCTTCTCAAAAATATCAAATGGCCCCATCTCCTTTTCCTCAAAATTTCTGGCATTTCTTGCCATCCACATGAGCCCAAAGAATCGAAAGTACCATACTATTAGTACTTCTGTTTGGCTTGTTAAACCTCTAAACCATGAGGCCAGGAGTATATGTTGTTGATGAACTTGTAAATTGTGATATGACCCAATGCCGCTTGGATATAATCAGGTAGGAGAAGATCTTGAAGTTTTTCAGTCTTCAAATTTGAAGATTTTGATTTAAGAGTATCTTGCAAGTTTATTATGTGAGGACGATGGAGATGGGTCTATTAGAACTTCAAGGACTAGGCTCTAAGTCGGGGGGTGGATGATGAGTTGACCTAGATGCTTAGTGTCACGGAATGAGGATGGCAGTGACTAGGGCTTGGGGCAGCGAGGTTCTAAGGTTGGGGATCTGGGTTTCTCCTGATTTCTTTCAAGGAGATCTGAATATCTGATTTTCTTTTTCCTTATTTTTTATCATATTAAATGAAAATGAAAATTTATTTTAAAAAATGTAAATTAAGAAAGATGGGTAAAAGAATAATTGTGCACTAAATTGTTTAATAACAACCATAGTTGAGGGACATGTGTCCTTTCGGTTAAAAATTTAAACGGAAGGGTTTTTTTTGATAATGTTTCAAATTTCAAGGGGAACGGATGTTACATTTTGAACATTGAGGGGCAAAGTGTTACAGGGGTCATAGTTCGGGGGGAATTTTTGTAAGGCACTAAGTTTGTACTTTGTTATCATAAAAGCATTGCTGCATAGGTTTAAATATAAAGTGTTGAAGGATCTGTGGTCTAGTTTGCTCTATTATTGTCGTCACTTGGTCTTTTTTCCCTCTTGTACTTCAAGTTGGTTCTTTAAAAGCAAAGCAGTTCTTCAACAGATGAGGACAACATATGCAATAGACGGGTAATTATTACCGCTATCTATCTGTGACTTTGACCCCTAATTGTTTTATCACACTGTGATAATGCCTGAGAAAGTTATTATTTGAAGCGATGCTAAGGGTGATATTGAATCTTATGAACTGTTGTCCAAGTTTTTGGATGAGATCAACTGCTCTTTTTTTGATATGACAACCGACCTTTGGATAAAATGGGACCAAAAAGAAATGGGGAAAACGCTCATGATTTTAGAACCTGTTACACCACATATATAACGCTAAATTTGGATTTCAGTCGAATCAGCCAATCCAATTACCAACCTGGTGCGTTCTTAGGGTCTTAGGGAGGAGTTAAGGGGCTCACTTTTCACACTTCATGCTTCGTAGATCTCAGCTGTGTGGATTTTCGTGGGGAAGCCACTTTCTGGACCTCTCTGGTTGCCTTTATTTGTACCCAACTATACCTTTAACGGTAGATGATAGAGTTCCTGCCTTCGGTGAAAGTTTTGAATGTGTTCAATTGGAAGGAAGTGATAGGCTGTTAGTATTTATGCCCTTCTGATAGTTGGTGTTCTTTCTGTTGTGTTTTCATTTTAGCTTTCTTTTTGCTCTTTGAGACTTCTCATCCTCTTCCCTTTGTATGTATGTGATTACATCATGAATTAAAGGAAGTTTTGTTATTATAAAAAAGAAAAATGTAAATAATGCCCTTGAGGAAAGCCTTGGCGTTGAAATTTTTTAGGGTGGCATGAGTCCCTAAGACCATAATTTGCAAATGTCCATGCCATCTTCACCATGCAGCATAAAGGTCTCGCCCTGAAAATGCGGCCAGCAAAACAAACATATCTGAACGCCACTGATTCATATCATGTTAGAGAGTGATACCGTTAGGCTGTTAGCTTTGCAATGTTGGTTCTGTTTGTGCTGGTTTTCTCATTTGGAGCGTCTTTTTCGATTTATTTTTCCTCTCATTCTCTCTTAATGGATGTTTTGGTATAGTGCATATCTAATTCTGCATTTGTGTTCTTTTGTTTCGGCAGAAAGGAATGGGCTGTGCAGAGTACAGGGGAAGGTGTTGGAAAGTCGTCAGTGGCAAGACCCCATGTTGGGAGTACTTTTCCTGCCCCAGATGTACAGTCACTTTGGTCTTTTGATTAAAAAGAAAAAAAGTATGAGGGACTTGAGAAAATACACCTGTTCTCTTGAGAGGCAAATAGCCTCTTTCAGAAGAGAGTTTAGAATACTGGACTGGACGCATTGTATCTTCCTTATCTTCTTTGTAAGGGAGATTGATGTTTTACTTAACGTCAGCATTGAATAGGAATACACACGTGGCGCTCTTGCTCTTGCACGTCAGTCAATGCTTCTCTCTCTCTCTCCTAATATTATGGTTCAAATTTCAGAATGGAGGCATTCCCTCTCTTTTGCGGAATGGAACTGACTTGATGAGAATGCCAACACAATCAATCGTTTTTGCTCTCCAATGGAGCCTTTTTCTTTTCATTCCTCTTCTTCTTCTTTTTTTTTTTTTTTTTTTTTTTTTTTTTGGGGGTTTTTTCCCTTTTTTTTTTTTTTTTTTTTTTTTTTTTTTTTTTTTTTTTTTTTTTGAGGGGAGATTGCATTTCATATTAAACAAAGTTAAAGATATCACGGTACAGTGCTGATGACTTAACAGAGGGAAGGACTAATGTCTGAGGCCCGAAATTAGGAGAGTACCGCGGCACACTTGAGCACACATGAGGCTTTTTTTGATAAAATTGTTATGATCAATTGAAGCTTTCAATTGATGGAGGGGCGGATCTCCCTAGCGTTAAAGTTACGTTAAAGTTACATTAAACACCGTCAAGACATCAGGACACCATAATAATACTGGTATCTAGAGACATAGATCTGCCCCTTCATCGTTTGGGCACCATAACTCTATGAAAAATTTCGTAGTCTTTGTAGCGATTGACACGAGTTTGTTGACCAACTTTTACAATCGAATGCCGGGCGACGAGTCTAGAGACAGCGCCTAAGCTCTAGCTAAACACTACACACCTTTGCTTTAGTTTTCATTTGAGAGAGAAAGTTCTTTTTATTCTTTTTAGAATCACGACGGTGATGTTTGGTATATAGGTTCTACCATTAGTTTTCATTTGAGAGAGAAAGTTCTTTTTATTCTTTTTAGAATCACGATTGTGATGTTTGGTATATAGGTTCTACCACAGTGTAAATTCATGATTTTAATTCTGCTATAGTGTTTTTTTATCATACAAAATTTAAATTTCAAACATCATAATTAAGAATTTTGATTTGAGTCCATATACTAAACAGGTTAAAAGTGTGAATAAGTGATAATCAATTGCCAAATATTTCACCTTTGGAATGTCTTTCTTAGCAATTTGGTTCTTGACTTGTCAACGTTTCCCACTAACTATAAATTGGTGAGTTTTTAAAAGTCTCTTTCAAAATAGTTATTCATTAAAAAACTTGATAATATGACGTGATAAGAATTTGATTTCATTGATTATCATAAAAAAAAATTTTAGTTAACTATACAATTTATTATAACCGTTAAATCAATATCTTACGGTTAAATAATGATGCCGATTAATTGATAAATATTAAAATAACCATTAAAACTACACTCATATACACACATATTTTTAAATTTTTGATCGAAATTTGTTTGGAAGTGGTATTATTTTAAAGAGTTATGATTTTGTATTTTAGCTATGAATTTTCACCGCCAAACACATTAAAATCATTCAAACCGCATAAAACAGTTGTAGTATATTCTTATTTGTATTCAATTGCGAATACTAATCGGTTAAAGAATTCAGTTGTTGGAATAATTCAAGGTCAAGAGTCAAGACAATATGCTGCATTTTTGGAGCAAATGGAATGTACAATATACTGTGGTACGTGTTCCCATTCGGAAAACTCCGGTCGAATAGTGGCTTAGTGCTTATGGTACTTAGAAATATGTATTTCCTTGAAATATATATCCTGTGTTAAATATTATTAGCTTTCTCTTGTATTATCAAATTGGTAAATTACCTTGTCTCTCTCTTTCCTTTTCTTGTATACATGTGTGTGTGTGTCTGTATATATATATATATATATATTTTTTTTTTTTTTTCTTTCTAATTATACAGGACTTTTGATAATGAAAAAGAATGTTAAATTAGTACCTTCCGATTTTAATTCTCATCACGACAGTATTCCAAGACGATTTCCTTTAGTATCCCATTCCAGTTTGTATCTTACTCCAAGTTATCGTTCAAGATATCATGCAATACTCTTTTAAGAAATTTATGGGTTCTTTTTTATTTAAAAAAAAATCAGACATCTAGCTACAAAGGAAGAAAGTAATAAAACTGAAAATAAATCCTTTCATTGTCAAATTGGAATAATTTGCCGATTTATTATTCCAAACAAAAAAAAAAAGAACAATTTGCGGAACTAGAAACGGTAACTAAGAGTCAGTTTGATTCATGGATTAGAACCATGAGATTAGAATCATTTTCGATTTACGTGTATTTTTTGTGGGAGAACATGAACCATAATTCGAATTAGAGAACGAATCCTCCAACCAAACGGGCTCTAAGAGAAAAAAAAATGATTGGAAAAGGGAAAATTAAAATAAAATAAAATACTTATAAAAAACAAAATATCCGACCTGCCGGATTCGAACCAGCGACCTAAGGATATCTGTCAGGCTGTTACCCACTACAGTCCTCCGCTCTACCAACTGAGCTAAGGTCGGATTGTGCTCTACATCCGAAACCTTTTTCTTATAACCTAGTTTTATTAACTTTTAAAATTATTTTGAACTTTCCGAATTTGGATTCCTTTTACTTTTTTATTTTATTTTTTATTTGATTTAAATTTTCGATTTCCTTAAATCTTCATTATTTTCTTCGAAGGTTCATGTCAGTATTATTATTCAATTGAGAGTAGAAGCAACAATAAATATTTCTTCCCTTACAAGTTACAAGGCGGAATATAGAGGTAAAGAACATAGGCCACTCCAAAAAGAAGGGCTCCACAATCCCGGCGAGCTCCAAATTCCACTATGCCTATTACCTACATATGTAGCTTCCACATCTTTCATTCATGAAGAGAGGTCGAGTAAGAGCTATGTCGGTAATTTCGTCCCTAAAGTCATCATATTCTCCGTATCCCTTTCTTTGCGTTTTGTTTACAGACATAATTTAGAGGTCACTAGCGGATATCCACTAAAAAATAATTTTTTTTTAAAAGCTATCTTTTACTTCCAATCATTTTCATGTGCAAGACTACACAGTCGCATGATGCAAATTACCTCGAGCACACTACTCAATATGACAAATCAATCAATAACGTTATGAGAATTAAATAAATCAAATTCCGCTTAATATAAATAATAATAATAATAAAAAAATTGGTATTGCACCATTTTACACACTGAAGATTAATACTAATTTGTTGCCAAAACGATATATGAAGCATGATCGTGGCGTCCCAAGAATGACGTTCCTATTATAATCCTCACACACTTGATGAGATTGATATATGCTGCGACTAAAATAATTGCTATTTCAAAATAAAGGAATAAAAATTAAAACAACTAGAAAAGATTGTCACTCGAAAACATTTCAAAGCTTACATCTTCCGACATTTCTCCATACAAGTCAGCAAGTTGAAATCTTTGCTTTTAGTTCGAAATCAATTAAGGCACAGAAAGATTGAATAGTAAAAAATAATATTCGTAAGTCCACCTTGACCCAACAATGAAAAACAGAGAACACACAAAACTTTGGCCTACGACTCCTGCGGTATGACTACCTGCATCGGGAGCACATGGTGAGTCAGCTGCCGTTGTTGCTACTCTTGCACTTGTTCTTGCTCTTGCACTGCAATTTGGGGCGGCTGTTGCTGCTGCTGCTGTTGCTCCCCTTCCCAAGTCCAAATGATGTCCTTGAGAGCTGGTCTTATGTCTTGCTTCATCAGCTTCTGATACTCCAACGTATCGCCATTTGACTTCTTCATTTCCACCATATGGAAAAGAGGGGTGATCTCAAATATCTCCGCATCAACGCCCACGATTCCTTTACGACCCTCCTTGGACCCTTCTAACTTCAACAATCCTCCATCTCTTTTCTTTATTTTCAGTCTCAGACGCTTGGCGATGTCTTCCAGCTTTGAGATGATGGTAAAAGCAGATTTGTTGGAAGTAAATCGCACTTCCTTTTTCCGCTCAGTTTCCTCAAACAAACCAGACAAATCAAAGCCTGCAGAATAGGAGATGATATCAAATGCGTTCAAGTTACAGCAAGGCTTTGATAGTTCTTGCTTTGAGTCGGTCATGGAGCTAAGATCTTCTAAACGTCCAAAGACTGCATCAGCATCCAAAGGGGCTGGTTCTGCATCTTCTTTTTCGAAAATTATGGGTTTGGTATCCAACCCCTTACGGAACCAGGAATTCCCCATTATTTTCTCCATGGATATCCGGGTTCTCGGATTTGGATCCAACATCTTCGACACCAACTTCCGCACTTCTGGTGCAAACCAGTTGGGCATCTTGAATTCACCTTTACCAATCTTCCTGTACATCTCCATTAGATTTGAGTCACGGAATGGGAGGTATCCGGCCAGTAAAACAAATAAAATCACACCACACGACCATATATCAGCTTTCGCACCATCATAGCCTTTTCTGTTGATTACTTCAGGAGCAACATATGCAGGAGTCCCACATGTTGTATGGAGCAATCCATCTTGACGCTTAGATTCAGCAAGTGCACTTAGCCCAAAATCTGAAACCTTTAGATTCCCATTCTCATCCAAAAGCAGGTTTTCTGGTTTCAGATCTCGATGGCACACGCCTCTACTGTGGCAGTAATCAACAGCACTAATCAGCTGCTGAAAATACTTTCTTGCAACATCCTCCTTCAGCTTTCCTCTAGCAACCTTGTTGAAGAGCTCGCCTCCTTTAGCATATTCCATGACAAAGTAAATCTTGGTTTTGCTGGCCATTACCTCATAAAGCTCCACCACGTTGGGATGTCTAATCAGCCTCATTACAGAAATCTCTCGTTTAATTTGATCAATCATCCCAACCTTCAAGACCTTCTCTTTATCGACTATTTTAATGGCTACACCCGTGCCAGTTTTCAGGTTCCTTGCATAGTGAACTTTGGCAAAGGTTCCTTGGCCTAAATGTCTCCCCAATTCATACCGTTGCATCAAAACACTTCCTTTGCTTTCCATTTTGAAGCTATAATTCTTATACAAATATAAGCTACTTTACCTGATGCTACAGTATATGATACCGTATCTCTACTTTACCAGATGGTAATAGTGTAAGATACCGTATCTATTAAAACAAACGCAGATCCTCAACCGTCTTCACAGACATCGTGTTTTGAAAAGACATGTTCCCTTGAATTCCTTGCAGCATTGTGTATTTGCGCACAGGACTGATATGTGCCGTGAATTAAACCTCCAAGCTCATCATAGATAAAAGAAGTCAGCCCAAATGGAGCGACAAGCTCAATAATGTCAATAGAATAGTTCTCAGCTTTCAAGCACATCTTTCTGCATTCCCTGCAATTTTTGGATAGCCAAGCGCGGTAGAGGATGCAGTTGAACTTTTATGGAACAACTGAGACTCAGAAAGCAAAATTTCCAAATTTACAGCAAATCAATCAGGCGCAGCTCACCTAAGAAAACAAAGCGATCAAAACAAGCTAGAAATTAGGATTATGCTGAATTCACAACTTGTAACAATTACAAACAGTGGAGATTCCAGCAACGATGAACGAACCTTAATAGATTAAACTAAAATCTTTTTCCTACTTTCAAAATAAAGCAAACTAAAATAAATAAAACATCCAAAGCTCCAAATACTGAACGCAGTTCAGACAAACGCCCAAAAAAAAAAGAAATACAAAATTCAAAGTTGGAAAAGAAAAAGAAATAAACCATATCTGGCATCATTGCAACAATGATATATATAAACATATAGTCAAGCAATTGAAATAGCAATAATGATATTCATTCCACAAGATTCTTGTGAGCATATATATATATATATTATAATTCAAGCTATAAGTAATCATCTCTAGACAATTGATATTGTTAATTTCAACATAATTGAGAAGATACTTCAAATTTCACTCTTTTAACACCGTCAAATGGTCTAGCAAAACTTACATCACAGATTCACCGAAAAACAAAATCCACACACAAATGCCGTTTCCAGAGGCAGAAAAAGGAAAAAAAATAAAAATAAACAACAATTAAAAATATATTTTGTCTTTGCATTTTTGAAGTCAGATAGACAAACACAGCAACAAAATCAAAACTTTTCCATTAAATCTCAGCAGTCTTCCTCACAAAAGAAGGAGCCCTAAGAGAACGAGCTTCAAAGTTTCTCGGAAGCCAAGCAGACAAGAAGAATCCAGAAAAGAGAGCAAACAAGAAAAATCTGAAATGTTACCAACAAACAAAACTTTATCGAAAGAACGTTGAACAGAAAATGGAATTGAAAATCTGCAATTTAGAAATTACCTTGATTTGTAGATACGAAAGAAAATCTCGCTGGGAAAAACGGAATTGCGAAGAGAAAGGAAAATGAGAGCGATTTTTATTGTGTTGGAAAATAACAGAGATCCCTAGGTGAGCCGCTTCTCAAACTTTTATATTCTCTCGAGCCAAACAAACAACCATGATTAGTTTTAATTTTAATTTTAATTTTAATTTAATTATTAAATATACATAATAAAAAAAGAAAACTAAAATGATTACTAGCTGGAATTTAGAATAAATTATCTTTTTTGGCAAAAAAAAAAAATGAAATGAAATATTTTTTTTGTTTTTTTAGGAGAAATAAATCGTTTTCTATTTTCGTTGTATAAGCATGTCACAAGCTTTATGAACGTAGAAGTGTGTTTTTCTAAGATTATTGATCTATTTTTTACTTTTTTTCTAGAACTTCTATTTTACTATTCACCGTAACAAGTTGATATTTAATTTCGTAATGTATGTAATTTATTTTTTTTTTTTATGATTGGTATACTTTTCTTTATAATAATGTTATGACACTAACTCAAAACTCAATTCTTATATATTAATTGATGTGTAAGTGAGTTGTTATTTTTATACTAATAGGTGTTTAAATCATTGTCATGTTAATTAATATAAAAAATTACATCTATTAATAAAAATGATAACTCACGTCACTTATCAATTGATACACAAGAGTTAAAATTTTAATTGGTGTCCATAATATTACTATTTTCTTTATATTTAAATTTGGAGGTGCCTTATTTCTTTGAAAAATAGAGATACTTTGCATTAGGTAAGAGGAAAAAAAAAAAAAAACATTATAATGTCAACAGAAAAAGAATACATTATTGCGTGGAAAACAAATTTCTTCTTTCTTCTGTGAGAATAAACAATTTTTTAGAGTTAATATTATGTCTTGATTTGCATAAAAAAGTATTATGTCTTGATTGTTAATTATAGCTGTCTACTTAACTAAGATAGTGACAAATTGTACCAAAAGAGACGTAAATGGAAGGATGAATCTAGGTGCTTTCCCATAATTTATCTTCATTCAAAGGTCAATTTCAACATCACAAAAATCTGCAGCTCTCGCACTTTGACGTGATTATAACGCAAAGAACGTTCATTTTTTTATTTTGTTTTATTTTTCTACTTTTGATAAAATTGAAGAGGAGAAGTTAAATTTGGCTGCTGTGACAACTATTGGATTGGTATAGTGGGAGGACGCGTTAAGATTCGATGCTGGAACAACCTTCATTTTTTAGCCCTTGTTTGGTCATATGTTGTACTATGTTAAATATTTGTGGTAGTATGAGTGAGAATTAGACTCATCTGACTAGTAGAATTAAGTTAGGCCTTTTGTTTTGGTTCCGTGACATTCAAAGTTATGCAAATGACGTAGAATAATATGAGGAAAAAAAAAAGAATTATTATTATTAGTGTCCATAAATTTTAATATCATTTATAGTTTATTCTTAAATTTTAAAAATTCTCACTTTATCATTTAAATTTTAAATTCTTTTCACTTAACTCTTTCATTATAAAATCTGTTGAAAAGGAATAGAGAAAAAAATAATAATAATATAGTCATGTAGTCTTTTTATTTAAATTTCTATTATAAAAAATAAATAAAAATCACGTGGCGACGCTTAACCATTTTCCTTTCTCAACATAAATTCTTATAAAATAGCTTAAATGTGTCAAATTTAAAATTTAATGGATAAAGTGAGTGTTATCAAAGCTTAAAGGTAAAGTGAAAATAATCTTAAAATTCAGGATACTAGTGACATTAATCTTAAAAAAGATTTTTACTCGTTTAAATACTTTGATAAGTTAATCACATTTATGGTTTTTTAATACTAACTTAAAACTGTAATTTGGTTAAATTTTGAACTTAATAATTAGTCAAGTTTACGTATAATTATTTGTTGTACTGTTGAAGGTGCATAGACAGAGTGAAAAAAAAAAAAACTCCCCTTTTAACTCCTCAAACTTTCACCAAATTCCCTTTAAATTGTTATATATATTTTTTAATATGATATGATTTTAAAATGATACTATCACTTGTGACTGTTGCCTTAGGCAATTAGAAACGGTCAACTCTTAGCAAAAATAATAATAATAAATAAATAAATAGAACGGTTACCTCCGAGGCTTTCATTTTTTTATTTTTTATTTTTGAAAAATTTATTTATTTATTTTTCTTTCGCCTCAAAAGAATTTGAAGCTTCATATGGGGGAGTCGCAACTTGCAAACTTGTAATACCTCGGTGGGCCCACTAATTACAGGCGTCAGTTGCTGAGTCCACAACCGTATACGTGTCCTTAGTCGTGAGCTCATCACGCTAGACTTCAACGTTTTCTCGTCGTTTGCTTTGATTGTTTATTTGTTGTGGTTTTGGAGTGTGGGGATCGGCGAGATTTTATATCATAATTCAAATTATAATTAGTAAATTGATATAATATTTTTTCTCATAAAAATATATATAAATTAAAAATAATTTTGAATCTAAATCTAAGAATTAAACTTTCACTTGCTTTCTCTTGATACAAAATTTTAGGTCTCGTTCACTTTACGGATTTGAGTTTTCAATTTGAGTTGAGATGTGATATTTTCTGAGAGCTTTTCACTGTAGCAGAAAAAAGTTAGATGTGATATTTTCTGAGTGCTTTTTACTGTAGAAACCTAAAACTGAAAACTCGAATCGGTGAAATGAACGAGGCCTTAGTGACGTCTGGTCACAACTCACAAAGTGCCTCACGCGCTCCTGCATTACATAATCACCCTTCTAATTAACAGTACGAGTAAGGATTTTTTATGGGTCGTTTAGTTAGTATATTTGTGTCATGATTTAAATCATAATTCATGATTCGTTATAGTATTTTCTCTCATAAAAAATACACATAAATTAAAAATAATTCTGAATCTATGAACCAAACGTCCACTTCATTTGGAATTTTTTTTCTCAAGATTTGGAATCTTTATTTCTTTCTTCATTTTTTTTTCCTTTTTATTTTTCTCCTCGTTTAAGATGTAACGAGGAAGGGAAGACATATGTTGGGTGTTTTATTATTTACTAATTGTATGCACGTGGCACGCACGCACGGGCATTTTTTTAATTTTTTTTTTGTAGAAAAATTTAAAATCTTTTAATATTTAGTTGTCCTTATTTATTATTTCCTAATATTTGAGTTTAGTAAAAAGAGAAAAAAAAAATTAGATAATAAAAGGACCGAAATTAAAATAAAATAAAATTTTAAGAACTAATTATAAGACATTTTAAAAGTTAATGATTAAAAAGAAATGAAGTGAAACTTCAAGAACTATTTATGAGATTAATTATAAATTATTTATAAGTACACATAAAAAAATATTTAAGAAGGTTGTATGACAAGAGTATTTAGGTAGGATATATTTGAGACAAATAATTATTTAGGAGGCAATTAGGAGAAACAATTACGAGGTACTTTGAGAAGAAATGACTACAACAAAATGTTCTATAATTACACATTTGAGAAAATTTATTTTAACAAGAGTATATTAGTAAAAAAAAAAAATGTTTAACAAGGTTCATTTGAAAATTAGTAACAAAAAAAAGCATATAAGTGAGGAGGAAAAAAATGAAGGACCAAAAGATGTCAAGGACTAAAAACTAAAGCAAAACAAAAACAAAAAAAGGCAAAAAAAAAAGGAGAGATCTGTTGAAAAATGAATTGTTGTTATATTTGAGATGATTATTCATTTAGGTAAATATAAAAAATATATTTCAGATGGTTTCACAAAAAAAAAAAAAAAAGGTAGGGACAAATTAAAAGAAATTATTATAAAGATCACATTTAAAATAAGGAAAAAAAAAAAAACCTCATTTTAGTAATGGCTCTTTTATGTATGTAAAGATTATTTTATTGTTTTTTAGACAACAATCCGTTTTCTTTTAGACCAAGGAAAAGTTGATTGCTTAGCTAGCATATTTTAATTTAGTCTAAATCATTTATTTCTTTAAGACTTGAACTGAAATATTCTCCTTATTTCGTAGTGACCTAGCTAATTCGAAAAAAAAAAAATATTCCAAAAAAGTATATGAAAAATATATTGATTTTAATTACAATTCCTATATGATAACTAGTACTAAACCAGATATATATATACTTTATTCCTTAATTAACTTATCTAAATCGGATTAGAGTTTGTTTTACTTTGGGTATTAGTAGCAAAACTAAGCCAATAAACCTAGCTTGTCTACTTTTCCCCCATTTAATTGAAAACCCCAATTTTTTTTATGTATGTCTTTAGCTAGAGATATATTACCCCATTACATATCTAATGACTATGAGTGTAATTTTTATACTACCGTCAATCCTAGAAGATAAAGAGTGAGCAATGAATTAGGATTTATTAGGAAGCTAAGGTCCCGTTTATTTCAAAATTTTAGTTTTTCTATAGTAAAGAGCTCTCGGAAACAGTCATACTTAATTTTTTTATTACAGTAAAAAACTCTCACATAAAGTCACATCTCAACTCGAATCAACGAATTAAACGTACCCTAAATGTGTTCTCGATATTTTTTTCTTTTTATCATTTTTAATTTGTGAAGTCCGATATGTACACTACGCACTTATTTTTCCTTAATCATTTATTCGAGGTTACTGATAAATTTAATTGTCTGACAGTATTATAATACAGTTTTCAACTGTATGTGAATAGGAGTTTGTATTGCGTTTTTCATCCTTTGTAATATATTTCTCCGTTCTAATAATAATAAATGAAAAACATTAAAAGTTAAGCTACACTACGAGCACCATAAAACTCGGGTAAGACTTTAATTAATATTGTTGAAGAGTATTGGATTTCACGGGTCAAAATTATTTATTGTTATTTATTTGTAAGGTTAAATATATTTTATGTCATCTAGATAAGAATATTATCTTTAGATGCCATCGAATATTAATCATTATCACATTTGCTTTTGTATATATATGCACTAGATCAGACGACACCTTTGCATGCGTTTTTTATTTATTTGTGAATTAGGTTGGAAAAATCTATACATTGTATATAGTTAATTAGTTGGCACATTAATAATATATATATATATATATATTACTCAATATATATATATATATTAATGGTTATTCTATTATTTATCTATTAATAAATATCGTTATTTTAACCGCAAAATATAATCCGATGGTTGTAATAAATTAAATAATTAATTAAAAGATAATTAATAAAATTAAATTTATATCACGTTACGTCTTGAAATTTTTATTTAATGATAACTACAGATAGAAATGTAATCATTAAAAACTCATCCATATATTTATATTTATGTCTTTCTTAAACTTAAACCGCTTAAGATACTTGTTAGTGGTATTAACGAACAAAAATTTGGTTCCTTCCTCTTTATGATAATTGAATAATTCAAAATTTTCATAAATCATTATAACAAAATGATTGCATTCATCAGTTATGAAGTTCTCCAAGACACATTACTACAATTTTGCACGCTTTATAGTTATGAAGTTGCTAAGGGGAAAAAAAAGTGTTTCCGAAATAGGAAAGCTGTTGTACCAGCACACCAAGCTAGCATTTTATTAGAAATCCATGTTGTCTCGATTATTAGCCAAAAAGAGAAAAAAGAAGATTAGAAATCAACCTTATCATGTAGCGTCCTTGCATGATGTAAAAATCATGAGCAAGCAATACTCATCATCATAAGACAAATTGAGAAAAGATTGAAATCAATTTCCTTTTGAATTCACTTGCCATGTGATCCACGTGTTGGTATGTTTTCAGGCTTTTGTTATACTCTATGTTCATATGATATCGGTTGATCATTTGCGTATGGTAGGCGATGTGGTAATATATACAGCCAGTCAAGTTGGTAATAATAACTACAGATTAAACAACAACACCTTTTAAATCATCTGGTTCTGAGTCAATTTCACCATTATGAGCGGCATATATATAAACAATTCTTATCCTGAAAAATTCATGTTTCATGTAAAAACGCTTGTTCAATCAAAGTTATTTGACTACTTCAGGTATCATTTTTATAGCTTTGTTTTTTCTTGAGTTGAAGAAAAAAACGCCTTTTGAAAAATCTATTTTTGAAAGATAGTATTAATTTGGCCGACTTAATATGCCCTCTCTCTCTCTTTTTTTTTTCTTATTATTATTTTTTTTATTGTGGCTATGAAAGGTGGTCCTAGAAGATGAATACAACAAGACATTATGCATCTCATAGTAGCAGCTCAATGAATTAAGTGGTTTCAAAAAAAAAAAAAATATATATATATATATATATATATGGGGGCCATGTGGATCTTGTCACTTTTTAGCTTGGAAAACAATATATCGTTGAGAACAAAAATCGACCATATTCGACCTCTTTTGAATTTCAAACAAGCAATTGGGTAAACTGTCAAGAAAACAAGGAACACATAAATGAGGAATGAGACAAATAGTTCTTATAGTTAAGACTAATATCTAAGAAACCAAGCTTAAATGACGTGGTGGCGTTAGATTTTTTTTTTTTTTTTTTTTTTTTGGGTAGAAACACAATATGTAATATGAGATTTTTTTTCCTTAAAAAAAATAAAAAATGCAATTTTTTTCTATTAAGTGGGCACAAATACAATTTTTTAGTAATTTTTTTTTTATAAAAAAATCGCATATAAAAAATTATATTTTTGTAATTTGAGTGGTGGCATGTGCTCTGCTCATGTTTGTGGCTCCCCTATTGCATATTCTAGCTTATTGTAACTGATTTGTCCCAAGAAGACAAGGACACCAAAATGTAGTGATGAGACAACACCTTTAAACGAGTGGATTTTAGATTTTTCCAAGAATAGGACCAGCCTTCCAATGCATGCCACCCGTTGCTTATCACTTAATAAGATTTGAAATTTGTAGGGCATTGCTATATAGAGAGATATTGAGAACTAACTTGCAAGACAAAATTTTGAGCTGGGGATTAAAGTGTATTCTGCTTGTGTTTTGTCATGTTGTTACTATGCAGTTACGTTTGGCTTAGGCTCAGAAAAATGTCTAGAGACACCATTAGTGTTAAAACATCATTATTAGTATAATATAAGTTTTACTTGTGAATCTCATACGAAATCCACTTTTTATTAGCGGGTAGTGTGGAGCACTATCAATGTCCAATAATATTGCGCTCAGGCTTAATTATTTAACACGTCAAAAAACACTAATTTGTACACGTGTGAGAGGTTACAATCAGTTATGTTAGGGAGAGAGCTTATGATATTCTACTCATCTTATAATTATAGATGAAGACGTCCTTTCAGAATTTCATCAAGTACAATCAGGTAAAATTTGGGAAGTTTCTCGACCTACAGTTTGCACTTCGGGTTTGAACTTACAAAAAAGAATGGAGGTAATCGAACTGTGATCCTTACGGCTTTGTTTGGAAACGTTATTAAAATTGATTTTGTTTTGAGTATGAACATAAATTTTTTTTAATTGTGTTCAGTTATTTCTATAGAGAAATTGCTTCGAGCATAAGGGAAAAGTGAAACGGTTTTTTATTTATGTTTCTGAAAATATATGTTGAGCATAAAAGTCCTAAAAAATGACAAATTAAAAAAAAAAAAAAAAACTAGTGTTTCCCATTTCTATAACAAAACATGAAAACTGTTTTTCCAAAGGTGATTTACACCATTTCTAACAAACAGGATTGGGAAACGAGAGAAAACGTTTCCATGATGCTACCGTAACACAAAATAATATTGGGAGAAAGAGAGAAATAGGCCAAAACTTAAGATGAATTAAAATTAATAGGTCAATAGTTTACATAAATTAATAAATAGGCTAAATTACTGTTTTCGTCCATAACTTGTCTGGTTATGAATCATAACTTGACAAGTTATTGTCCATAATTATCCATAACTTATCTGCTTATGAACCATAACTTAACAAGTTTATCCATAACTTATCTGGTTATGAACCATAACTTGACAAATTATGACCTATTAATTTCTATAACTAAAAATTAGCCTATATACTTTCTTAAACTTTTCATATTGACATATTTTCTATTATTTCCTAATAATATATTGGCCTATTAATTATGAGATAAAGTCCCACCTTCTTCTTTTTTTTTTTTTTTTTTTTTTTTTTTTGAAGACAACCACTATGTCTATGTTGTTTTCCGTAAAAAAAATGTATTCACGTAATGTAATAACAGAACTTTTTTCTCTTTGAAGAGGAAAGACAACAAAAATAACAAAAAAAAAGTAAAACAAAAAAATAAGAGTATATAAAAGGCTTTCGTGTTTACTCTTACTCATTGTCCATAGAAAATTTATGAAAAATTGTACGAATTATATCAGATCATATAGATATCTCTTCAACACAACATAAGTTATCGAAAGGATCTCAGAGACCCACCAAAACACGAAAGTCGGGATCTTTCAGAAAAATTTTTTTAAAAAAAAATTTTTTTTCCTTTTTTTTTTTTTTTTTTTTTTTTTTTTTTGCTGAAACCATACCAGATACTTCAATCCACTCTATTATGGATCCCTCGAGAGCCTCCAAGTACATGAATAAACGAACCATGTCGGCAAGGGGCAGCAAACAGATTTGAGAACTCAAAATTACCACATCAATTATAAAAGCATATTGTTTATTTATTTCAATTCCAGTCAAGCTTTTTTTTTATTTTTTTATTTTTCTTACTAAAAAGAAAACAACATAAAAGACCTGGACCAACTCCACCCCACGTAGGAAACTTTACGCCACATAAAATGAAACAGTAAGTTGATGGTTTTTGATTTTCTTCCAACATTTTGGATTTTCAGATATGGAAAATCTCTCTTCCCCAATCATAAAACATCAGAACTCAAAATCTAGAATCATAAATATTTTGCAAATATTTGAGTCAGCGAACACAAGACTCAACTGAAACTAGCCATTGACATTTCATGAGCGAGTAATTTTATACAAGCACATCCCAAATATTTATCAGACAGAAATATTGTATAACAATAAGAGACCCGCAATCAATTCAAGACTACATATATATATATATGAGACTGCTGTCTTTGATCTTGCAATTCAAATCTGCTCCTCTAATGCGTATTAAGACTTTAAGAGTCAGAATGCAATTTTTCTTCACCTTCCAAGCTATTAACTGTAGGCGAATCGCAAGCGTGAAGGAGGGTGCATATATCTTTCGTTTCAAGGAACTGCTCTGCATTGGCAAGGATCAGAGGTCCATACTCGAAAACCATTCTCTTGCACTGCCATAGAAATTAGGTTCAAAGTTATTAGAGAACTTGATAAGATATTGTTGAAAGAAATGAAACTCTCTCCTGCCTATGAAAACCATCTTCAAAAGCATCTTTCAACTGAAAGGCCTACACCAAGCCAAAGACCCCGAATAAATAATTAGGCTATAATTGGATTTTCCTTTTTATGACTCTGAAGTCGGGCCATAGAATTGCGACCTTCCAGGCAATTATCACAAAGTTGCTACCTAGTTTCAGGCATGTCTGATGACAAAAGAATTATCATAGCATCAAAAACCAAGTTTAAGAGAGAAGTAGATCCTTTCAATAATACATCAATACAATGATACATCCAACACTTGTATTGCGTAAAAAAACAAGGGCTACTCTATGGTCTTTCTGGAAGGACCATCCTTCCCCCCACAACATACAAAAGTGATAAGTGTAACATGACAATCATTCAACATAACATGGACATCGGAATGATGTAACACCTTTTTTTCAAGAATTTAGCTATCCCAAACTACTTTTATAGCTTTCCAATGTCAATGGCATAGCAAATAAATGCTACTTTACACTTCTCACTTCTATATGTTATGGAAAGTACAATCCTCCCAGAAAGACCATAGGACAAGCCCAAAAAAAAAAAAAAAAAAAATTCAATCGAGCTGTAAAATTGCTAATTTCCATTAATTGTTGTTCTCACCTTTTTCTCAAAGTCCTTCGTGCTCTTACATGCCTTCAAAAGCACCTCAATAATCTCCAACTGACAAAATATAAAGATAGACCATGAGTCACTTAGCAGTGAGTTCCAAAGAACAAAATCGTTTATAGTATGGTTGAGCTATTCTGATTGACATAGAGTAAAATCAAAATGAAATTTTGTTTTTAAAGCTTCTCCAATTCACATAATAAGTTCGTTAAGACAATAACAAAATGCAATAACAAAGCATCGTAGCAATATTACACCTCACTTCTCATCATTGTACGGTATTTCGACACTTCCCCTAGCCAGCAATATTGCTCCTCTCAGAAAAGTTGGACTCAAGACTCCAACAGAACTTTCCTTTCAAAATATAAAGTGTAAATCTTTAAGCTTTGAACTATATAAGGTTCCTAACCTTTCGAATTCTAATCTAATCAACTAATGGAAACCTATTTTGAAGCATCACCTTTTGGATTAACTTTGTTTCTATAGTCTAGTTTGTACACAAGCAACTTATTAGTCTATTTCATTTATTCTTTGGTATGGATTTTGATTCCTGCAAACATAGTAAACTCAGGTCACTCATTTCACATGTTTAATAGTCTTAACGTGACTTGTTGACCATGACCATGTACAGACAAAATCATAACCAATGCTCAGAAAGAAGCATGCTTTTATGTTGCTAAGGAGAGACTTCAAGTTTTCCATTTAAAAATGTTAGCCTAAAAGCATGTCTTGTAGAAAAATATCCAAAATTCTGTGGAAGATAACTGATCATAGAAACGTATATTTTCAACATCCAGGATAAGGTTAAAGAGTTGATAATTTTCATCTATGAATCTGAAAGAAGTCAAATACAAACCTGTGTATCAGGATCTTTCAACTTAGTTAATACTTCTGAAATGACACGGTGACATAACACACAACTATCTTCACGAAGTTGTCTAGAAATCAAGACAATTTGTTGACATAGGTTGACCTTTCGGCAGAATTCCATCGGTTGTATCATGGAAGCCTCTAGAAATAAGAGGGGAGCATAATAGTCTACTAAACTGAGACACTGTGAGGAAAGAAATAAGAATTTTAGACTAATATAAATCAGAACTGTAGGAAACTTCTTGCAGCAGAGCAGCATATCCAGAATACTATAATAAAGCCTCTTCATCATCCAGCTAAAGAACAATTGGTGATGGACGCCAACATACTATAATAAAATTTTGTTTGGACACACACGTAAATATTTATTTATTTAGTTTACACGATTTTGCAAAAGCATCACTTTAAGTAGAAAAGTTACGTGCCTTCTGCTCGAGAGAGCGCAATTGAGAGCATGACTGATGTAGAATTTCAAGGATCTCATTCTGGGTCTGGTTGTGTCTAAGGTAATCAAGGGCCTGGCCAGCATACTGCTCGCACAATGTGCAAATATTGTCGGTAGCATCTTTCTGGATTTTACAATCTTGTTTCTCGTACCTTAAATGCATTTCTGAATCACAAAGTAGAGACAATAAGTAAGGCAATTTTCTTTACCACAGAAACCATTGATTCTCCTACTATTAGAAACCACTTCCACTTGCTGCTGTCATTTGAGAATGAAACGGAAACATTTTAGCAAATCTACCAAATTTTAGATGATTGAGAAGTGATTATGTTTGTATATTCCAAACATCAAGGTAAGGAAAATGTCAGATGGCATATAAGGGTAGCCGAAAAGCTCTTTATTTAACAATCACAGTAATCCGACAATTGGAAACCAAAAGGATGTTTATTATCCATGAGAAGAGGAGTCCGTACTACAATTACCATGAGGGGTATCAATCGCCTATAAATCATCATTCCAAATGCATTTGACTACATAATGATCTAGAAGCCTCCGTTGTACTGAAGGAAAAATGACGAGATAATATACAAAGCTGGGCAGTAGCCAACCTTACTACTACCACTCATTATTCATCAAAGAAAACAAGTTGGGGACTAAAGAATAATAACCAGCAGAGGTCGCAGCAAAGCATGGACACGTCTGTTGTTTCTTCTAGAGCAAAATATAGGGCGTAATTTGCTTATGGAAGATATAAAACATATAGCACAACTATTGATGTCCAACCAAACAAGCCCATATCTAAAACAGAACAAGATCAAAAGAGAATCAGGCATGTGATAAGAACCTTATCAGGTGACACAGAAACTGAAATAAGAAAAACTCTTGTAGTGCATCAAACCACTTAGAGTTAGTGTATCAACCTTTAGTACTGATGTAGAATCCGGGTCTCAAAAAAGAAAAGGTCATATATTTACCTGACAACGAAGGCTTATCCAATTGTCTAGCATCACAGCGCCAGTTAGCACCCAAAAGAAACAGTAGCAATAGCCCAGCCCTCACATCCATTGTGTTTGTGCCTGAAGTTACAACCATAAAAGAACAAATTGAAAAAAACCACCATGGCTAAATCAATAGCACATAATCAATTTAAACAAGTATGCTATTACAGAGGATATAATATATATATATATATATATATATATATACACATGTACGTATGAACATCACAGTTGCCTTTGTCAGGAATAACCAAAATTGAGGAGAAAACTTATAACTAAATTAACAAACATCTGATATCCAAAATTTGTGCAAAACACAGAGAAAAACAGTAATAATTTCATTTCAAAGGCGTCAGCATCATAAACTCGAATCAATATTTCATCATCTGTGCGTGTTCCCAGCAATCGGAATAACACGTGAACCCAAAACCTTAATCAGATAGCAATTTCTTTACATAAGATTTCGTTTTACAATTTGAAACAAAACAAAACAAAAAAAAATAATAATAAAAAATCATATTCGAACATATACAATCTCAATAGGAAACTTTGCCGAATAGCAACAGGAAACTTTGCCGAATAGCAATCGTAATAGGAATAATTAATTCTAAACACGAAACACGCGAACCGAAACCTTAATCAGATGGAAATTTCTTTCTCTACATAAGGTTTCGTTTTATTCTATTTAAAAAAAAAAGAAAGAAAAAAGAAAACCTTGATCAGAAATCAAATATGAAGATATGCAACTCAATACGGAAACTTTGCCAAATAGATAATTATCAACACATTAATCCAATAATAAAGGAGCAAAAATAAAGATTAAACCCTAAGAAAACTCTCTCTCAAGGGCGTTTGGCACCTCAGAAAACATGGGAAAAAAACTAGGAATTTGTAACCAAAACCCTCTTTTATCGCCTTTTCTTCGACGAATTTCAATAAACGAATAAAAAGATTTAAACTTTCATTTCATTTTATTTTATTTTTTAATTTTTCTGGTTCGTACCTTTGAAAAGAAAGAGATCGGATTCAGAGAAGAAGAAGCTCCAATTGATTGGGCAATCAGCGGACTTGGTGGTTCCCTGCTTTGGCTTTCTTTGATTTTCCCAATTATATAAACTTCGCCATTAGGGTTTTACTCCTATGCGATGAGGACCAGAGAAACCATATTTGAAATCCTGGACACGTGTTTGTAAAGGAGATGATGGGAAGAGGGAATTTTTTCAAACAAGTTGATGCTGACGTGGAAGTTTTTAAGTGAAAGGAATGTTATGGATAGGTGATATCAAGGGTAGAGGATTTGAGTCTTCAGTTGACTGTTGGAGGAGAAAGCAAGTGGGAACTAATGACGATAAAATTGTACACATCATATGATGGAAAAATGAAAAAAATGTTTTTGTTTCTATCTTTTCTTATTTGCCTTTTAGGTCAAACAAAACTACTTGTGTGCCAAATTGAATAATTGTATATTTAAAGATAAAAATGAAAGCGATAATTGTCGCGCAATAATGATCTTGATCAAATGTCATAATAAACAGGCCCAAATTGTCCTGTTTAATATTTGTTTGTTTATGTACCCTGGTCTTCACATAATTAAACTCAATGAATGAACTCATTAAAGGTTTTAATGCAATTTACTTGTCACTTAGTAAAATTTGTTATTGCTTTGCCCCTTTTTCTTTGTCAACTTTTGAGAGTAGAAAGGTTATCCGACATTTTATCTATGAAAGTCATAAATAGAAAAATAGGCATTTAAAGCACAGCATAAATTACCATATGTGAAAAGAGTAGTTATTTTAATTAAATACATCATTTGGTAGAGTAAAAAGGTTGGGACAAGATCTTGAATTTGAGTTGTGTTATACCATAATTTATTATAAGTTTAATGTGGCATTCCACGTAAGTTACTTAAAAACTCAAAGTTTAAATTGTGATGGGCAAATTAAGCTCGATATTTTAAGCTCGGTACCTTAAGATAAGCATCACCTTGAGCTTGGTATTTTGAGTTGGGTATGTCGAGTTAAGCAATTTGAGCCTAGTATGTTAAGTCGGATAAGTGACATGGGCGACCCTAAGTAAGTAAGTGAGAAGAAATACCTCAGGCCAAAAGGTACTAGGCTAAATGCCTCAGGTCAAATGCCCTAGGCCAAAATGCCCAAGGTTAAATGCCCCAGGCCAAATGCCCCAGGCCAAATATATTAAGTTAAATGTCTCAGGTCAAATGCCTAAACTAAATGCCCTAAGCCAAAATGTCTCAGGCCAAAATGCCCTAGGCTAAATCCCTTATGCCAAAATGTCCTAACCAAATGTCCTAGACTAAGTGCCACATGTCAAATGTCCTAGGCTAAGTGCCTCAGTTCAAATGCCTAAGCTAAATTCCTAAGGCCAAAATGTCCTAAGCTAAATGCCTCAGGTCAAAATGTCCTAGGTCAAAATACCCTAACTCAAAATGCCTTAGGCAAAATTCCCTAGGCTAAATGTCCTAGGCTAAATGTCTCAGGCTCAACACCCTAAGCTCGATACATTGAGCTCGATACTTTTGAGCTTGGTACTTTCAGGTCAGTACGTTGAGCTCAATACCTCGAGGTCAAATCTCTGGAAGGTTAACTTGTTGGAAAATATGGCATCGAGTACGCAACAAAATTTTAAAAATTTAAATCAATGCCAAAGCCAATCAAGAACATGTTCATGATGCTATATAACATACATACTAAATATTTAAATCATACCTTTTGAGATTTAGGAAACTGCACCTCTAACAGATCAAAGCGTTCCAAACAGCAACCAGAAGAGTCTCAACCAACTGGTCTTCTTTGCTATTCTCGTTTCCACTATCTGAGTGCGGGTGGGCACACGTCGTTCAATCTCCTCTTGGTATTCTTGAACTCCTTCCAACCACAAGAGAGCCAAAGGAAAAATTATTCTTGAGAATAAACAATTTTTCCTCTCAGGAATCTTTTGTCAATAGCCTCCAAAACGTCTCTCAAGTGATCTAATGAATAATGTGACTTACTGGGCTATTTATAGTGGTTAGGAAGTCATACTTCCATAACAATTAGGTTTCCCAAAGTTTATCTCGCATACAGAGTCGGTTTCGCCACATCGGCACGCGTTACGCGTTACAACCGGTCGACCGGTGACAGAGACGTTATAACTGTTGGAAACCGAATCGAATTCAGATGCGGAAGCGTGGCGGGGAGGCGGATCGTGTATAACAAAAATTTCAGAAAATTTTTTGAGATACTTTATACATTATATTAATTTATGCACGAATAAATTAATCACATTAATTTATATATGGAACTCAATCTGGAAAAATACCCGGAAGCCGACTCGGATGATAACTTGAGTTCTTTGACCATGAACAGTCCTTGCTCTAAGCTTTGTGTTTAGAATATCAAAGTCTTCCACGTCGATTCCTTGATTCTACGTAGATGTGTGTGTGGGCACACGTGAGACAAAACAGGTTTCTGAAACACTCAAATTTCCACAAACACCAACGCATGCATGATGTGGAATTTTTTGGGAGAAAAATTTTCCTCTCTTTTTTCCTATGAGAATTTCGGCCACCACTAACTCTTAGGGCTGAAAATTGTTTCAAAAATTGTGTCCACAATTTTCTATCATTCTCATATTTAAAGAGTAGAAGTCAAACTTCAAAACAGAATCAAATCTCTATCTCCTATTTGAATTTGGAACAAAAAATCCCTTCCCTTTATCCATAAGGTGGCCGGCCAATCCATTAGGGTTTTACCCTGTGTGTGGCGCCAACAATAGATAGGGAAGGAAGAGAAATCATCATTTATCCTATAGTCCAATTTTATTTCAAATTCAAATTCGAATTTAAGTCAAACTTAAATTAATTTGAATTCTAAATTGAACAACTTATCAAATAAGTTCAAAAGGATAAATTTAAATTATGTTCACAATTCAAATTCAAATTTAAATAATCACATTATTTAAATAATAATTAATTCTCAATTAATTATTTTTCGAGTATTTAATTTTAGAATTCCATAATTTGAAAATTCCCATTTTACACTTTGTGTCTGGTAGAATTACAAGGACGACGCAGGGACTAATGGACCTATAATCCTGAGCTCCAATAAAATTAATAATTAATTAAACACTTTAATTAATTAATTAATTCTATTAATTCCAATAGTTACTCCACTA